CGCGTCCCGGGCTGCGGCCGGCCTGCGGTGCGGGCTGGGCACGTCGTCTCTGGGAGGCCACTGTTATAAACGTGAGCACCCTTTTCCATGTTTGTTTTTGAAACATCGAAGCGACTTTTGGGCGGGTGAGGTCCGGGTGTGTGTGGTCGGAGGGCGTTTGATGGAGACAGGAATTGTCGGTGACTGCGGAGCCCGGAGTTGGTGCCAAGGTGTGGGTCTGGTCCGCGAGGGCAGCTGTATAGAAAGGAGGGCTCTCCCTCCGGAACCTGTTGCTTCTGTCGCTGGAATAATTACCTCGTTAATATATTTCGAGTGTGGCGTTCCTGGGTTTTATTAGATTGATAGAACTTGCCAACTTTTAAACATAATGATTTTGTGTCGACCTTTTTAATAAGGAAAATTAAGGCAAGCCAAAGGTTTCAAAGGGAATTTTGATTTTGAGGTTTGTTGCCACATGCTCCAGAAATTGCCACTTACACATCCTATTTCACGGTTGTCTTGCAACCTTAAGAGTGGGTTGTGACACAGAGGTCTGGTTTGTGCTGTTTCCCACCTGCCTCTTCTGAGGCACCAGTGTGTGCTTTAGGTAGGATACAGCTTAGCCACTGCAGGTGCCAAGTGAGTTTTATTTGATGGTGAAGTCTGAGCTTAGTTTTTTCATCAAATTAAAAAGGACACTGGTCCTTGTACCCAACTTGAAATGAATATGTCCTCACTAAGCACAAGCCTCACAGCATTTCTGAGTTCTTCCTACTTTTGTTATCTGTGCTACTTACTCTGAAGGCAAATTCCAGACTTCTGTTAGGATCTCAACTTTCTAATCACAGTTCTACCTGGTGCTCAGTTTCCCTGTTTACAGAGCGACAAACCATTGCTATTTGAAGAAAAAGACCAGCAGTGAAGCATTTATCAAGAGGACACTTCCTCAAATTTGGGTTTGGTTTGGTTTGGTTTGGTTTGGTTTCCCTACTGTCTGGTGATTCTCTGTCAAATCAAAAGTTCTCTCTGTTCTTTGTTTCTCTACTGGGGAGTGAACCCAGGTATGCTTTACCTCTGAGCCACATCCCCATCCCTTATTTTTTATTTTGAGACAGGGCCTTGCAAAGTTGCTGAGGCTGGCCTCCAACTTGTGATCCTCCTGCCTCACCCTCCGGAGTAGCTGGGATTAAGGTGTGCACCACCTCACCAGGCTGTTTAATTTTTGAATTGTTCCCAGAGAGTAAAGGTGTCACTGCCAGGTTCCCCAGACCCTCTATAAGCACACCCTTGTCCTTCCCCACATCTGAGTAGTTTGATTTCTTTTCCTTCCTGTTCCTTATTTGGAATATTCTTAGTAACCAATGACCACTAACTTGTAATAAAAATTTCAGGCTCAAACGTCACTTAGGCTCTTGCTATAAGTATTAAGAAGTGATGAGATATATATTCAGTATCTGAATATTTGAGGTCATATTGGGTTTCGCTTTGAATTTACCAGAGAATGACTTCAGTTCATTTTTTTAAAAAAATTCTTACATGTTGTTTGAAAGGTGCAATTATCTTCAATCATGGGTTTTAAAAATTCTTTGTATATTCACAATAGAAAAATGAAGAAATTTTCTTTTAAAAGAATTCGAATTGGATGCTGGGGTTGTGGCTCAGCCCTAGA